ATAGTTTTGTTTAAGAATTAATTTGTTATTAATAAAGATGTAATTTTTTTGGTTAATTAAATAATTAATGATGTAATGTTTATGTAATTGATAAATAATTAGATGTGTGATTTTGATGTTGTGATGTAAGTTGGTGAGATTGAAGAAAATAAACAAAAGTTGACAAATTTGGAGAAATTGCTAAATTGTAAGGAATCCAAAGTCCGAGAGCTAAAATGTAAATACTTAAAAGTTGTGCCGAACCTCACGATGAAGATTTGAGAGTGCTCGGAGTCAATTGGATAAATGAAGACGTCAATGGTATCAAATTTAGGCAAAAGATGATACAAATCAATTTCCTACCGAAAAGTTATGCTCCGATATTTTAGTCTCATATTGAGACCTATTTTTGGCATAGAAAGTGATCGAATTGGAGAATGATGTTTGAATTAAAGTTGTAGCAAGATGAGTTAGCTTTCCAACGCAAGTTGACAAATTTGGAGAAAAGGGCTAAATTGTAAGGGATCCAAAGTTCGGGGACTAAAATGTAAATACTTAAAAGTTGTGTTGACCTCACGATGAAGATTTGAGAGTGTTCGGAGTCAATTGGATAAAGGAAGATGTCAATGGAATCAAATTCAGTCAAAAGATGATCACAAATCAATTTCCAACCGAAAAATTATACTCCGATGTTTTAGTCTCATATTGAGATCTATTTTTGGCATAGAAAGTGATCGAATTGGAGAATGATGTCTGAATCAAAGTTGTAGCCAGATGAGTTAGCTTTCCAACGCATTTTGAATCGCCTCAATCGGACATCGAAATACAAAGTTATGATAAAAATATTGAAGGAAGGTGCAGCTGCCTGTTTAAAACAAGAAATTCCGTTACATAGTCCGTTAAAACAACAAATTCCGTTAGTTTTTCCGTTAAAACCAAGAAATTCCGTTACATAGCCACTTTTAATATATAGAAGATAAACAATTGATTTATTATTGTGGTTGGTTATTTTCTCCGTCTAATCATTAGCTTTTTTCAGATACGAGATCTTGTTGGACATCATTATATTTTTTGGCCCTTATATTTATTTTAGTAAACTTGTATTGTAACGTTATCGTAACGTCTTAGTCTAAAAAGGACGAACAAAAAATTATATTTTATTATTTCACTTTGATTTAGTTGGTATTTAAATTTGTAGTAGATATATTTATTTTGTTTTAGATTTTGTTGATAGTAAGATATAAATATATTTTGAATTCAATGAATTAATGACATAAAAGTAGATAGAAAAAAAAAATATACCGAGAAACTGGTGGTTTAAAACCGGACCAAACCGTTAGATTTATGTTTGAATTTTTTTCAAACCGTTCAAAATGGTTTGGTTTGAAAATATGTCAAAAATCAATAAAATCAGACCGCTTACATCCCTGTTCTAATCCTTCAAAACATCCCCAGCGTATTTTCGATAACTGTGGAGTAATAAACGAGTACCATGTACCGTACCGTCCCTTTCGTTATACAAAAATAGTGCATATATCGTGTGTTGGCATTAACATAAAAATAGTGTGGACAGACCGAGGCAGACCTCAGTGCCATCATCGGCAAAATAATTTGGTTGAAGTACTGAAATCAAGTTTAATCCGGTGATAACTTCCCATGTGATAACTTTAGGTAAATGGCATCTTAAATCATTCTTCACGGATATGGATTAAAATAATTTGTTCTCAAGATCAAACAAACAAGAAGTTGCATACATCTTTTGGACCTGCAACTCCCATGGCAATTGTTAATACCTGACTTATTTTATTTTTTGCAACAAAAAGCTGGTTAACTAAATACAGTTGATTCTACAACTATTCGACTCTCCAAAAAACATAGAGAGGCGTAGTATAGAAGACCTCAGCCTACCAGACATGGAGCTTCATGGCCTGCCAGTTTGTATTAATTGAAATGGGGACTTGAGCAACTTCTTTAATGTCTCCATTATAGTAGCAAAAGTCGGGCGTTGTGCAGGATCACTGAAGGGAAAAGAAGAGATCATCAAGTCATTCCAATATCAAAGGAATTCGCATGGAGAAATGTTATATTAAACTAGTTCATCAGCGATATTGTTACAAAACTAATATCTGAAAGTTCAAAACTATTTTCATCACCAGTAGTGCTTTCCTTCTCACACTGCATATCAGATCTTATTAATGAACTTTTCTGACCATCTTACATTCCTACTTCGCTTCTTATGCCAAAATCAGATAACCATACAATTAACTTAGATGGATTCTAACTTTCGCACTCGAGTAGCTGCCTTTTTTTTTTTTTCCTCATTTTCATTTTTATTTTTGGTTTCCAACTATTTTGTAAAGTTTAAGTATTTAACTAATGAATAATGCTACTTGTACATAATAGAGTTACATAATGGTTTGTATACAGATGAGGTGTCAAAAAAAGAGTAGATAAGTGTTGTTTTTTTTTTTTTTGTTTGTTGAAGAATTTTTAACTCAACCATATCTCACCACATCATGTGTGTAAATCATCATGTACATGTAGCACAACCGCTATTATTACCCAATACTATAATCTTGCAGTATTTACTTGAGTATGTAGTCGAAGAATTTAGAAAGACAAATTACGACTCCTAATGCAACAAAAATCTTACTCAGCCCAGCAAGACTCCATCAAAGATATCAGTATTGGAGACGTGTTCAAAGGGATTGCAAGCCTTCGATTCTGAAAGGCAACTGCTCCAACCACCTGAAAGATTGAAAAGATCACACTTTCGTCATTAAAGTGTATATCTTACTAACCATCAAGAAATACATAAATCCAAGTAATAACATATCAGTGGCAAAACGGTATATCAAAATGACATTGGATAAACCTGGGCAGGGCTAAGTCCACTCCAAGGCTGTTGCATGGTCACAAGCTCCCATATAATCACCCCAAAACTGTACACATCAGACTTCTCGTCAGAGGGCTCTCCACGAAGAAATTCAGGTGCCATCCACTCTGGCTGAAATGAAAAGAAGGAGAGTTACTGCTGATTGATACACCGCAAAAAAAATATGATCAAGCTGCAAGGTATTGATTTGAATAATTTGATTGAAAATAGCTGACGTTCCATGAACACATGAAATTCCTATTTCCAGTTAAAATGCAGTCATAATCCAGAGAAAACTACTGTTTCACTGGTCAAATAAGCATGATAACTATAGGTACAGTGAATGATGGCTAAAATTGGCAGGGACATGGAATCATTCATAATAACATTTCAAAGACCAACTCAAAAGCCTCAACTACCATAACACCTTACTTTGCTAATAGAGTATATCAAAGTATAGATCTCCACTCTTTTTTGTCATTTGTTGTTTGCAACTATTGGGATTATAAATATTTTTGGCTTCTGATTATCATATGAATATTTATATATTCCTTGTTTCCTCCATGTAGGTTATTACATATCTTAATTAATTTTCCTAGGTTTTTTCTCATTTTAAACTTGTTTGGAAGTGCTTATTCCTTCCAGGGATCGTTTCAAAAGTATTTTATAAAACAAATTTCATAAGACAGAATAACACTTAGTTTCATCGTCTATTAAGTTCTTATTTTCCTATGTTGGAAAAAATAATTTTTTTCATTGTACTCCCAATATGGTAATGTTGTTCTCCAAAAGCCTACCATTTTAAGAACTTGTGAAGAATAACTACAACTGTAGGCCTAGGAAACGTACTTCCTTGCATTATATACTAGACAACATCAATCTTGATACTGGAAAGTGAGAAAATCGACTCAACAATTAGTGAGAATGTATTTCTTTTTCTTAAGATCAAAAACCACTGCAATAAAAAATGAAGCTTTATCTAGTAAAATATTCATCTTGGGCCATGCATGGTCCAGAAAATTCTTAAGACAGATAACTACAAATTTTCATACATATATTCGCTATTTTCTGTCTTGAATACATAAGAAATGTATTGCATCGATTCTTTTTAATGAATTTTATCAGATTGCAACTTCGAATGTGGAATTCAAAGGGATCAAATAGGAAATGTACTCTGAATCATAGAACTATAATGAAATATACGATCAACCAACATTTATCGAATTTGAAAAAGAGTCCATTCGATCCTCTTATCTTGATTTCTTGAACCGAGAAATCCATATACACCCCACGAAATCGAAGAAGCTTTTGGGAAGGTCAAAGAAAGAACTTGTTCTTCCGACATAAGAATTCTTCCAATAATTCGGAGCCTAATCTTTTCAAAAAAGCACATACAGTACTTCTGTGTTTCTGAGCCAAAGTTCTAGCACCGAACTAAATTCTATGGACACGTGCTTTCTTTTGGTTTAGAGGCTGTGAGGTCAAGGATGTGTATGAGTTCTCGAACTTATGGAATGAGAAAAAGAAGAAGGTTTTTCCCTTCTTATGTCTTTGTACCAAAAAATTTAACAAAACTTGCATTTTAATGTGCACGTAACATGTGCAGAAGAATTATATAGAGAGAGAATTCTTACCGTTCCAGCAACAGACTTCGATGAAATGAATGTGTTTGCTTTGAACCTTGACAAACCAAAATCACAGACCTGAGCCATGAGAGAAATGAAGTTAATTCAGACTAAGACTCGAGGAGGTACATTTGCAAAGAAATCAGTGAGAATTGTACCTTTACAGTCCAATTTTTATCAACCAACAGATTTGGAGATTTGAGGTCCCAGTGAACAATAGGTGGAGTAAGACGATGAAGATAATTGATACCCTTAGCCTAAATGCATCATATATTAGGAAATTTATAAGGAAAACAAAAACAGTAAGGATGAAGTGAGGAGAATTGAAACGTACCACATCGAGAGCCATTCGTAACCTCCGCCTTGGATCTAAGATCTCCCCGGCAGCTGGCCTGTGTATTAGTCTGTATAGGCTACCTCTATTTCACAGAATTTCAGATACCAAGATTAGCATACATAGTTCATAATACATAGTTTATTTGTTTTATAGATCCTATAAAACATGTTTACCTTGGAAGATACTCTGTCACTATAGATAGATGTGGACGTTTTGTAACAGCACCCATGAAGAGAACTAGATTTGGATGTCGAACGCGTTTCATAATAGCAACCTTAAAAAATGTAAAATAGATGTTAATGTTTAACAGCAACTGTAGAGAATTAATGAATACATTAAAGAAATACAGTTCAGGAAAGTAAGGCTCATTCTAGCAACCAAGTAGTCAAGCTGTGAAAACAAAATGAATATTTCACTTTAACCCAACCCCACTCCCCCAAAGAGAAAAACGAAAAAGAATAATGTTTCACTACTAAAAAGTGCTTAACACAGAGTTTGTGCATCTCACACTCATTAAAAGTGCGTACTCTAAAATATTTGATAGAAATTAAACTTTAAGAGAATACTGAAAGAGTAAAGGTTAGTAAAAATTGAAAAATGCCACCATCAGTAAAGCTAAGGCCAATATCATCAAAAAGAAGGAAGACAGAAGTGTACTCCAGGAAATTTCATCATTCAGATTCACTATTCATACCTCTCTAAGGAACTCTTTAAACTGATCATCATGAAAATCCTGGATAGTAAGAACCTTAACTGCAACATCCTGAAACGACAGCAATATTTAACTCCGTTAAACTTATCGAACACCTGAACACTCAGAAACAACAATGGACCAAGGTAATGCAAAATCATTTAGTGCATCTATATTATTGAAGCAACCTTGTGAAGGAAATAAACATCTATCAAGAGGAGCAATCTGGTAATTTGACACAAGCAAATAGATTCATTTCACAATGTTCATTCACCAGACTTGAAACAAATGCCACAGATGCAAACCTCAAAATAAATTAATAGCCTAACAAAGAGAACCCATGCATATTGTATTTTTGCTTCTTTTTTTTTCCTTTCTTTTCTAGGGGTAAGGACAGCAGAACTATACATCACAGTAGACATTATAACTTCAGCAGTCAGCACTTTTTGTGTGTGTGTGTGGGTGCGTGGGTGGGGGGGGGGGTGTGTGTCTGGAAATCCGACAGTAGATATTAAAATGTAAAGCCATATAACACTCACGGATCCATGCCATTCAGCTCGATGCACTGTCCCAAATGAACCTGTAAGAGGGAATAAGAAATGTCTTACAACCCAGAGATCAAAAAAAGAAGCATCTAAATAATATAAGAGACTACTCTACAAAAATAGAAGAAGGATAATTACCAGCACCAACACGCTCCTTAATGTGCAATTCATCCCATGAGATCTCAAGCCAATCCATTGCAAGAGAAGGCTCAAGATTCAAGTATCTTGGAATGACTGTAGCTGGGTGCTTCTCATGATTTGGAGGTCTATTCTTAACATTCATACAATCTTGTTCATTAGAGCAGGTAATTCGAGGAGGTTGTCTGTTAGAGAGAGACACTATTGCGTTTGAAGATACAACAATGTCCTCATTATATGTCTGTTTGATAATTATTTTGTCACCACCTGGTCTAGAACAATCATCTCCAGATATCCCAGTGGAAGCAACACCAAGAACATCTTGTCTGCACAAATCATCTTTTAAATTTCCTGGCAAGCCAATATCCTTCACTTGATAGATTTCTTTTCCCCTGCCTATAAACAAAAGCTTGTAGTAAGTTTATTACCGGGAAAAATAACTCATTTAAGATTTTTGCCCATTTTTTCTCATGTCTTCACTACTGTCTTCTAACCACAAGTACCCAACAATTTATCAATACCCCATTGACAAGCATGCACAATGAAAGAAAATAAAATGACTCATAAGGCGAAAGAGCAAAAAATTTAATGAATATAGTATCACAGCAATCATTATTTTGCACCGGAGAATAAGATAAGTGTTATATCTATAAATTAGGTAGCTTGCGCTTGACGGAGGGGTAACCACATATGCCGACTCGACACTGATTATTCAATTGGGTTGACCCTATTTAATCTAGCAACCTCATCTTGGTTTAGAGCTTGGTCCATTAGCCCCACTTGGCCCATTTCCATACTCTATATATATGTGAGTCCATTTCACACACAAGGTAATGTTTTCTAACCCTAACCAAATCCTCCTCTCTTGTTGCACTCACATTATCTCTCGTCCGGCCGTTGACTTGATCATCGGAGTGTAAACGGTCGCTGGACCTTTTTCTTGACCTTTGCCACCTAATGGGGTTCAAGTGCGCAAGTACGCCACGTGGAGGGGAGGTGGCCGGGATTTCTGTTGGCCACGCGTCCGTCGAATTTTGAGGTCAACAAATCTCTGCCGTATGAAGTGTCATAAAATTTGATTTGAAACCCACAGACAACATCATTTAATTGTATTAGCTAAGGAATGAGGACTTCCAATTTTCAGCAGTTACAAATAGATTAATATTTTTTAATCTCTCGGCTCTAAGAATAAGCGGAGGAAAGGGGATGTACTAAAGATAATTAGGATGCAATCTCTTAATATTGAATCGAAATCCACCAACAGGATCAGCTCCTATGGTTTTGAGCCTAAGCATTCCATGGTACCACATCTATGATGCTAAAAAAACCCAAACTTAACATCTCATCAATCATTTTGGGTTTCAATTAAGATCGTATAGCACTAGAATGAAATGACAAAAAGGTATATAAAATCTAACAAACCTGAAAAAAGAGGATTTTCAGCACCACAAGTATACTTTGAGTTCAGTAGTTGAAGATCTACTTCATTAGACAGCTCAGATTGCTGAAATGCTTTGAGATGTGATATCTGAAATGGTGAAGGCACTGATGAAAATACACCTCCATTGATTGAGGAATCTGGACCGTGGACATTTCCTGGTTCCCCAACTAGATCAACTACAAATTCCCTGCTAAGAGACATATGCAAGTTTAAGAATAACTCATCTACAATGAGATCCATAAACATAATTCAAGTGATCAAACACAGTTTCAGGTTGAAAATTACTCGCTGTCAATGTTACATACATTCCTGTCCTAAGGTCATAAGGTAACATGTCAAGTGATTTCCAAGCAAGTAATAAGCTTCTATTTACAACTTCTGCGTCTTAAGCCCATGGTTGCACAAGAAATAAAGGTGAGAAGACTAATACACAAAGTCTCAAAGAAAGAGCCAGTAATCATGTTTCTTATTGCAGCGGCATCTGAAATGCAACATCAAACAACTAAACATGTAAAGTTATTAAAATCTAGAAAGAAAAATAGTTTCTGCAGCCTGAACAAGTTCATTGCTTTCTTAAATGTGAATTAAGTAACAGTTATCATAATAAAAATAAGATATCAGAAATGGAAATACTGAGGCACAACGTGACAATTTTGGATGGACACACAGTAAACAATCCTGGTGAACCTAAAGTTAAATCTGTCTTTTTCGTAGTTACTTTGGCAGCAGATGAGAAATGATGCCACAAACAAATAATATTACCTTGGAAGCTTTCGTTCATCGTCAATTTTGACAAGACATGAAGATCGATGATCTGAAACACAATACTTGCAACCTCGAGCAATCCGGCAAGGCAAACCAACATAGTCCGCCAATTTCTGGATAAAAAGGAGTCCCACGTTAATATGGCTATCCTGAGTCCTATAAACTACCTCGAGCAGAGTGTCAACAAACAAAAGTGTCAGGGAAAGCGTCCACATGACCTACCTGCTTACATGCATTCAATGAGAATATCCCACCACCCCCATCCCCACCCCAACAATGAGGCTAGTTCAAGAATTTTCTCCTGTGTTCCTTGAGAACAAGGCCAGGCTAAAGAATCTTAAATTTTAAAACTTATACAATAAATATGCAGTATTAAACAAATTTCAGGTTCTCTACTCATGTAAAATAAAAGTCTAGGTAAGACAGACTCGGTTCATGTATCTGTCTTGCCTGTTCACATAGTGTTGAGAATACACTGTTAAATCCAGACTGCAACCAGTTATCATCAATCATGTGATTAGAAGTAAAGAAGACTAAGGATCACAAAACTTCTAATAAGTGAAACACAACAAATAAACAGGAGCACAATTCGAAATTCAAAAAATTGAAAATGGTTTTCATGTGATAAAATGAAGCAACCCTATATATACTTGCACACATAATGACCTTGAACAAATAAACATTTGCCAAATGCAAGGAAAGAACTATTTGTCAACAGAAACTAGGATGTAGGTAATCACCTTGAACAAAATAGCGCGGTGCCGGCAAAGTCCCATGGAAAGGCTACCAATAGGGAGCACAATGCATTTTTGGAAATCCTTTAATCTCTGGCTAACCAATTTCCATCCAACATTTAGGTCACCTTGCTCCATCGGAAAAGAGCCCCTTAAATTTCACAAACTTAATGGCTTATGAAGGACTATTCAGCATCCTAAAGAAGCAAGCTAAGAAAGTTAACACTTACCCCATGTTGACAGCGACAAGTTTGCCAAGTTTCTCTACCAAAACTAATGTATTTTCGGCAGAATAATATAGCTCTTGAGCTTTGTCCTGAAGCTCCCTGAGTTGTGAATCCCCTCTACGATCAACAAGAACCACCTCCATAGAGGTGTCATTAGGTTCAAGTGTTCTCAATGCCATTAGAGGTGGCATTCTTCTACCTTCGTCCAACTCATTGCACATCAACCACATATATGGATCCATTCCCAAAATGTTATAGAACCCATCTGATATCTTGTCAGTGTAAGACAAACAACCACTGACCTGAAAAAATATTTGTTCCCAGGATAAATTCAGAAATGACTTGAAATATACTTTGACTAGAATTGCATAAAGTAAATTCAAGGCAAATCTCTTGCATCATATCACTCATATTCTATTAAAACTTAATGTACCATTAATGATGGCAGTAGATTTACTGGTGAAGCAATAATCTTAATTGTTTTGAGATGAAGATAATATACCCAGAGTCGGTAGGAGGCAATTTCTGCATCAGCAGATCCACCAACAAGATGCTCAGCACTTCTAGACTCCTGCATTAGCATAGGCTCAGCAACAAGTGTAGCCTGCCCAGTAAGCCTTCTAGCAAGACCGAGCTGCAAGTAATAGCCCTCTTTAAACCTTTGTGCCAATCCATTGCCAACGTTTTCAACTCCTCTTACCTCCTCCACATCGTTTGTTGTAGTTGGATCCTTAAGTATCCCAGTAGTAATACTCGACCAATTCCCATCCAAAGTGGTTCCCGAAAACAAACTACCAGCATAACTCGTGCTCCCACCACTAGAAAATCTCTGCAGTGACAGCTGCCTCTCAAATCCCCTCTTCTTCCCTTGATGATCAGCACCAATGCTATAATTGCTCCCATTACTAGACAACTGCTGCAGCGACACCTTCCGTTCCAATTCCAAGCGTCTCTCTTTACCCACCTGGCATTCACAATCAACCACCGCACTGGGAACCACCAAAGCAGACGGTGGTGATGGTAGAAATGGCTCACGCTCTTCCTCTTCAATGATGTTCCCATCATCTGATCTGATCTTCTCGGGATTCAGTCGATTGAATGATTCGTCTTTCTTTTTCTTCTTGGTCAGCCAGTTCACAAAGGGAGCCAACTGCTTTTTGTGAATCCTGTCGCCCGTGAATCTATGAGAAATGTCACTACTACTGTTATCTTTACAATTATGTTTAGACTCCGAGTCTCTATTAATTTCTTTTCCTGTGAGGTTGAGAGCGACCTCTTCGTGACCACAAGCCTCAAACTTTCGTTCGCTTTTCTTCTCGTGATCCGAGACAAACTTTGAGGAGTCAAAGTTGCTGTCTGGAAATTGCCTCGGGAAAATGTAAGTAGTTCGATGCGGCATTTTAACTGGAGCCTCCCGTGAACTTTTACAGCTACAACAACAACAACAAAAAAAAACGAATTTTTTTCAGAAATCTCAACCTGTACGCTTCCCTTCTCTCTATCCAATTTTCACTTTTTTTACTCTCTCTACATCTCTGTCAACCTTCAACAACTTACAGTTTCCGCGAAAATCACAGCAGGAAGACCAAATTGAACGTACAATTGCTGCAAATTTTAGCAACACAAAAAAAAAAAAGCAATGATGAAAAATATATTTCACCTTCTACTGATGGAACGGAATTATATCATGTAATTCGCACTTAATATCTCAACACCACGGCACCTCCAAAATTCAAATCTGATGAAAAACATTCAGCATGATAAAACGATTAATGAAATCCAGAATCAAAATTTTCCAATTTAAAACTCAAGAAGTAAAAAGATTACTCGTTTCGAGATCTGAGCAAGAAGAACAATAAACAAATACATTTTGTGCATAAACAGATAAAGAATCTACCAGAAGGACTGCGAAGATAATACATTCTTACCTATCAGTGTAAATATTATTGTTTATGTAGCAAAGCTGAAGCAGTCGGGTGGAGGTTTAGGCGAGTATTTTAAGCACTAGTGGGAGGGAACACAAACCGGTGGGAAGTTGAGGATTATATATATGTTATGCACTGAATCTACTAACGTGCGCTGGGGTATATTTGCGCACCGCCCTTAGCTATTGCCCACGTCAGCTCTAACCAATACCCCCAGCTTGACACGTAGTGAGTGCGCACGGTAGCCCGGAGATTGATGTGGATTGACAAAAAGCCAAGTAAATTAATTTTTTTATATTTTAAGGGAAAATTAGGAGTACTCTCCTGACCTATTCGACGAAGGAAAATTCCGTGAGTACAGGGAATTTTACCAGAAATTTACCAGAAAATGATTGTGGCCTTTGATTTTTTTTTCCCGCCTTTTTGTATAAATCCTAGCCTTTGACTTCAAAAATCTAGCAATTATCTGGCAAATTTTTCTGTACCTATAGCAAGGTTCTTCGACTGAAATCTCTTGACAAATCATCATACGCTCTCGAGGGCCCTAATATTTTGGATACCTTATGCAAACTTCAAATATGGGTTTCTTGTGAATGTTAGGTCCCTGTTTAATAGAAATTAAAATAAAAATTTTAATAGATTTTGATAAAAGTTGATGAAATGTGTGATTAAAAAGTTATAGATCCTATAAAATATGTGATTAAAATTAATTGTTGACTTTAATTTAAAAACAATAAAACATAATCAGAAAGACAAAATATAAAATTTAAACTCCAGTTCAAACATAAAAAAGGAAAAAAAGGAAAAAAAGAATAATAAATGGATCGAAAAATTCTCTAACCAGATTACATAACACGTGGATAAGCATTAGTTTAATTAAAATATTAATCAATACAACGACAATGAAAAATTGGAAAAAAATTTGATAAATAAAACGAAATTCAAGAACCTAAATAGAGAAATGAATATCAGTACATTTAGTAGCAGCTCCTTGATGAATAAGTATAAGACCCATCACAAGAGCATTAGAAAAAATAAATGGCCGTAAATTTTGATGAGGGAAAAGTAACTTTTTGTTTCTTGTTAAAAAATAAATAAATAATCATGAGAGCATTAGAAAAATGATGGTTGGAAAGATAAATTGTCAAATTAATTATAAATATAGAAAGTAATGGCTGTGATATATTTAAATTTATGTCATATATAAATGTATGTGATAAGTTTTATGCCATTTATATAATTATTTTTAGAGATATTTGTATTTTTAATTTTTATTATTTTCTTGTGTATATGCCTGATAATTATAATTTTGAAAATTTCGTAATTATATTTTTCGTTTTCTTACATAATTTGGGGTTCTCGTCATCAAATGCCTTAGATCTCATCGTTACCTCAAATAGTGTGAACAACAACGAATCTCAAGTTAAAAATTCTATAAAATGACTATTATACACTTGCACAATATTAAAAAAATAATACATACAAATTTTCTTTTGTTTTTTTTTTAAAATAAAAATGTGAAGACTGTAATAATCTTTTATAAAAATTGAACGAAATTTACGTGGATTGAAATTTACAAATTTTGAAAACTTGTATGTTTTGTAGTGAAAGATGAAATACAAAAGATTTTCTAATATCTACTGCCCCTAGTTCTGTTAACACTTAATGTATCAATCGTTACTAGTTTGATTTTAGTACAGAGAGGCACGTTTCAAAGACAACGTTGCATAACCGGTGATATGGTACGTTAGTTGAGTATAATTGGTGTTATAGTAGGTATTCATTGAGAAGAGGGGAATCAGTGGATTCCTTAACTACAATATAAACTTCATTTTCGTGGAAGAAATCTTAAGAATTCTTTTATGGATAAAGCTACTTGTACATAATTTCTTGTACATAAGGGATTCTTTTATAGCCATCATTCTCAGGCTTTTTATTGTTTCAATTGCTGTCATTGGGCTTCTTAGGTGGGTTTAATGGTGGGGTAGTGGCGGCAAACTTACTGGTGGAGGTTTGGGTGGGAGTTATGAGAAAGCTTGAGTTGGGGAATGGGAATAGTTGGAGAAGACGACTCATTTGTTCGCTTGTAAAAGAGTAAAATTTGTTGCTGCAATATTTTTTTATTTAGTTGCTTTTTTGCATTGAGGGGATTTACGATTATAACTTCCATACCTGTTTGTTTTTTGTTCCTTCATAAATCATATCTCTGATAAAGAAAGAGCAAGAGTAAAATTAGGCACCTTTATTACACATAAAATTAGTCTAGCTTTACATAGACTTTGCATCCCAATTTTTTTCCCCCCATTTTTTTGATTTGTATAATTAGGCACTTTTATTACACATTCATTGCAATTTTAAATGTTAAATGCATTAGTCCCCCTATTCTCTTCACCCAATAATGCATCAGTCAAACTGTTGACCGATGACCTGTTCTCTCGCTTTGTCACACTCCTATTATTACTTGACTTTCTGTTAGGGATTATTCTTATTGTACACCATAACTCTCACATGGAATAGAACCCACCCGGTCCCATCCCATGTGAGAGTTATGTACACCATTATGTACATAAATTATGTACTACTAGCATTGCTCTTCTGTTAAATATGACCTCATCTCAACTGAATGCTCTCACACACACACACAAAACACACACTAATCCCAAAACACTTGAGACTACTACTTTGGAGAAGTAAAATATAAACCACCCCATTTACAAAAATTCATCAAGTTTTCAACACGTTCAATCATCACCGTAAGAGCTATATAACCACCGAACAGACTATCAAATTATGGAACTGTTAAACGTAAGATTTTTGACACCACAATTAAACTTCAAAGCCCGCCATATATTGAAATTGACTATCGACCAGGATGTATTTAGACAAGAATCTGTTTGCCCTTTCAACATTTCTAGGGCTGGTGTGTAATTTCTACTATACTTTCGAAGCTTACTAAAGGTATCTATACTATCACTATGATACGATCTGTCGGAAGGAATCAGCATAAAATACTTCCTCTTGCTTACTGCACGGCTCTCACAGCTCAAGCATGATGAGCACATGGAAATATTGGGATTCCATAATCACACTCACTATCATCTTTGTCCTGTTAAACAGAGAACGAGAGAGGAGGGGGGGTGGGGGGGGGGGGTGTTAAAGGTTATACGAAAACTAATTTTTCTGATGAATCGTAAAGAAACACCTTACAGAGGAAGCATTTGGTCAAATATCTCCGCATATACCTCTCCAGTTCGAATCATAGAATTGTCTTGGAAAGATCTCGCATGGTCCCCTGCAGAGTCATATGACTTCAAGATTTAGAAAGAAATACAGTTCAGTGTGTACTACAGCATATTTTTGGTTCAAGAATTTTATATACCAGGCCATATCATTAGAGTAATGTAATGATGTCAGAAGGTAGTGATTGTGCCCGACGTGCATTTACCACGAGGAAAAGTAAATGACAATATTCATCATAGCAGGAAAAGCAAGACTATGAAACAGCTTTTTCTTGGAAATCAGAACAATAGCATAAATATAATTGCTAGTGGGAAGAAGTGAAAAATGGGGAGGATCTGTGTAACCAGCAAAAGTTGGAAACATGATTTTCACCTGCAGCACAGACCTCTCAACCTATGTGTTTACTAAATTGCCAGAAAATAAAAAACGCAGTCATTATCAGGAAATTGGAGCGGCAACCAAGAAATATTTCTATGCATCAAATGTGGTACTACAGCGGTAAAAGTTTAGTATATTAGAAAGGAAGAGTGGAACATTGAGTCGATCATATTAAGCTCACTGTATTCAACATTATCAAAAGACCAAGAGACCAATATAGGCCATCACGAAAAACAGCACACAAGAGAAATTAGGGTGGAGAAGGAATGTGGCTCATCCGGTAAAGAAAGAAATTTCAAGTTAAGAACTTTAATATATACATACTACAGAAGTACCAGTCTTGTTACCGCCCAAATTCCAGAGTGTAACCAGGTATTAATGGATACAGGCAATTAATCTCTCCATTCATCATCTAAACTTTTGAAGCAAGCAATTAATTCAAAATCAAACTGAAATTTCCAACAATAGAATATTAATTAGAGAAAGCCAATGAAGAGACCCTTCCCATCAGGAGAATCATGCACCAACAAATAGGTAAAGTCATTCTGACGTTATTCTGATGGCAGAAAGAAATAGGGAAAACAAAGGAAATGAGACCGTGTTGAGTCCAAGAACAAAGATGAAAACACTTGAATAAGCAGCGGCAGAGAAGAGTAACCTTGTTTACCCAAAATAGCCCACATGCATTGCAAAGAGTTCTTGGACCAGCTGGCCCTCGCCGCATCATTGGAGTAGCCTTTGAACTAGTGCCACAATGAGTGCACCTGACACAGTAGACACGTGGAATCACTAAAGAATTTCTAATACCTATGAATAGGCAAGATCATAGAGGCAGGAGGAAGCCAGAAAGCATCCCCAAGTCTAACAGCTGAAGCTTGTAGCTTAGCAAAGTTACTGAAGGGAAAAGTCTAAACTAAATTCGGGAATACCATTATCAAGTCATAACGATAAACATGTGATTAGCAAAATAATTTGACGAACTCAAAATAGAAGCAGATTATGCCACATAGAAATAACATAGGGCATCTGTGAAACAGAACGAGATCTAGAATAGCATAAAACTCACAGAGTATCTTGTTCTTTTTCCTCATTTCCAAAATCCTGTGCGGCATCCATAGTAGATTTCTCAGAATTTCTTGAAGCAAATTGACCCTTCCTGCGCTGCATCCTGAAACATATACACAAATCCAAACGGTAATGTTCCTGTGAGTTATCCCGTAATACATCAGTAAGAATTGTACAAACTCAACATTAGAAACAAAACTTTTAATGAGATTCCCCTGCCTGCTCACACAACAGAGGGAGAAAAGTGTATGAACGATCTATTTATGGATCACTAAAATAAACACAGAGCCTTTTGAATATTAGCAACATCAAAAAGAATGAAAGAAAGAGAACTCTCTCATCATCTACAGTGTTGCGGCCTCTACTCATCTCTGCTACCTTGTGTCCTTTCAATTTTCACTCTCAGGATGTCTAAAGCATCCTTTAAGCCAAAAAAATCTTGTTGAGAAGCAAAAGTATTTGCAGAGCATTTACAGATGCATGTTTCTAAAAGGAACATGTGATAAGATTACCTCAGTTGCTAATCTTCTACTTAGGCTGCTACTTACATATCTAATTGAATCTATAGCATGTGTCATGGGATGGAAAGAAGGAATAAGAAGACGATTAAGCATCATTATTGCTGAACAAAGACACAGGATGTCATCGTTGGGGCTGTATAGTCCTTTTCTAAAAAATTAAAGTAGCTAAATTTTCTGGGCATCAATCTTTAAGACATATACCATTCAAATAGTGGTTCAACCAGTAGATCAATCACAATGAAATCTTAATTGCTTCCAAAATTTATATTTTTTATTACAACAAACATAAGAAAAGTAGTTGATATTCTTCTAAAATTTATTATTAAAATGTACAAACTGAGGCATCCCCAGTTAGCCTTTTCTCATTAAATAAGTTCACTCAAGTCAACAAATTGAAACCAAAAAACGGTCAACCAAAATCAATTAGAAGCTGATGATCAATGTACCCAAGCAGACAACATCAATTAGCCATGAAATTCAAAACAATAATGAAAAGAAAAATTCAAGTGAAAAATTTCAAGGCAAGAGGCTATAATCTTGGATGTGATACAACGATAACTCAAAATTCAATTAGTAAATATAATCTAATATTTCATCACTGAAGAAATTATTGTGTGTTGCCAAATAACCACAATCCTATTACATGGCAAACTTGAGACACTGGTAAAGATGGAGATGGGGAAAATAAAGAAGAAAAGGCAAAGACACTATTTATAAAGAGAAAATCATACCGAATTGGAAAAATTTCCAAAATGGAAAACTTGTTTTAGGAAAAAAAATAAATGTTTGTTAAATTTGATTTAGGTTCTTTCCATGTTTATTAGGTTATCTTGGGAAGTTTATAGTTGATTTTTTTTCCCTTTTCTATCAGATCTTTCAAGAATATCACACAGCATAGAAAATTTATGCAGATCATGCATGTCATTACAAATTAAAAGGTTGACAGAGAAGAAGGGGAGGTTTCTACTTTGCTATAAATCATATAGAATTCTGTCTGACAGGAGAATTTGTCATTACAAAATCCCAAGCTTAGAAATAAGTCTCAGATAGATGCAATACTCCAAACAATGAGTTTCAGGCATTAGGTAAGATATCCTCCTTAAATAACAAATAAATTTAACTCTATGGAAAAGCCTTGGCCATTTCAATTTTGCAAACATTGGCATGTATACACAACATACTTTCTCCAAGCATTAGACGTATGTTCTCATTTTTGCTGAGAAATATCATGATGTAGAGAACGCCACGACTTTTAAATAATAATAATAATAATAAATGGAAATTGCAAGAAAGCAATACCCGAGTGCAACTTCTTGCCGGACATTGTATCTAATTTTCTTCTCAAAGCACCTCTCTTTCCTCTTTTGACGAAACCTATTCAGAGATTCTGCCCTGTTTGGATTTGAAGCCTAGTATATGTATATGATATAAATATCAGTCAATCAGGTGCTTAAGCAAACAAACAAGTATGCACTATGTGGGCGGATGAAGAACAAAACTCGCTTTAAAGATAACTAAATACCCTCTGTATATGGTACGCTGTATCAACACCTAAAGTGCCAGGATCAAATTCGCATCCACCCAAAAGTAAAAGCACTGCTTGCACCTGTGATATTTTATGATTATCAAAATTCATCAGGAGCTGCACTATGTGTGTGCATGGAGAGTAAAAGAAATTGAAATTAAAACATTCCTCTACTAGGTGCAAAATTATTATGTGCATTTCCGCCCTTTTCTTTGGGACTTTTTCCTAGCAAAGAAATCACATCTGCCACTCAAATATTTGTTTCAATTCAAATTATGCAATCATACTTTACGATTTCTTAAGGTTTTAAATTGCTTAATTCAAGGAAAAGAAGAAAGTCGGTCCTTTAATATCTAAATGGATTGTGAAGATAGTTCATTATCACTTTCCCTTTTCTTTGACAACACAGTCGCTCATTCTCTACTGCAGTATGCAAAACAGAAATAAATACAAACATAATCCCCACATTTCATTGGAAACCGTGAACGCCGCAAGAAAAATACTCGAACAATAATAGGAAAAAAAAAATAAGGAGATCAATTTAGCATTAGAAAATTTTAACCTTATCAGCGGTAACGCCATCGAACACAAAGACCCGGCCGCGGAACGAGATAGCGACCTGGTCATTACCATAGGCGGCGCATGGAACAGACACGTTGGAGCACTCTCCGCCGCCGCCTCCGTATATTCCGCCCGTCCGGATGGAGACTTCTTCGGTGGCCAAGCCTCCTACGCCGCTGTCTTCAAGAGACTGAACTTCATAATCAGTAGCCAAGTTTTCAACCAAGCCGTCATTTTCGGCGGCGGCTGGGCACTGGGTCGGCGGGTTTAATGGTTGATTTTGTAGGCTTTTTATGTTACATAATAATTTATATAATGATTTATATAAAAAAATAATTGGTTCAAAATTTTTTTAATCAAATATAAAATAAAAAAAATTGAATTAAGCTACTCTAACATCGCAGCTGACATATAAGCTCACAGAATTACGTGGATTTTGGTAAAAAAAGAAAAAAAACAAAAGAAAAGGAAAAAACTCTTGCCCACTCCATTTTCCCCTTTTAATCATTTCATCGTTCTTCATTTTTGAAACCATTTTCCCCCTTTTTTCACTCTCTAAACTTCGGGTAGATCTCCGACCCCTGGTCACCTTTAGGCGCCTTCTTTCATTTCTGTAATCCTTTTCCACCTTTCTACACTCTCTAACCTTCGGGCAGCTCTCCAACCTCCAGCCGCCTTCACTTCCGTTGATAACGAACGGTAGTTGAAGATGATAGAAAACAAATATATCTGAAAAGTATTTTTATGTTTTGGTTGAATGACGTAAATTTCATTTTCTTTAGAATTCTTTCCTCTTTGTCCCCTTTAGCGGAACAATATTATTAGAATTTGGGTGTGATCCGAATTTTCAGTTGAAGTAATTGAAGCGTACGTCAAGAAAAATTCAATTTGAAATGCTATTGGAGTTCTATGACAAGTTGAAGTTCTATTTTGAAAGTCCATTGAAAGTTGAAAATTGGTATTGTACTTGAATAAGATTTCGAGATGGAAAAAACAATTTGAGAAAAAAAAATTTATTTTTTTATGGCAAAACACCTGGCGTCGAGGCGCCCGAAGGTGGTACTACGGCGCCCCACCTGGCATGTTTCGGGTTTTTCGCCTTTTTTTCTCCTTTTTTGTTTTGGACTCGATTTTTTAACATCCTACTTCATCAACAACTCTACTAAAAGGTTTTGGACGTTAATTACATGTTTTCTATAAGTATTAGGCTATTTTATACAATTTTACAAATGTGAGATATATGATTACTAGAATTATAAGATTCACTGTAATTTTCTCTCTTCTCTATTATTTTTGAGTCAATAAAATCTCTTAATTCTTCTGTCATATTTCTTATCTTTATTATTCATTTGCTTAATCTAATATTTCATTATTTGCCATATAATTTCAACAATTCATTCTGGTGGCTATTCAAAAAATACATAATTCTTTTATTTTTAACATTGTTATCAGCGATCCGAGCATATTATTATTTATTCTAACAAGAGTTATTTTGGTTGTTTCGTAACAAGTGGTATTTGAGTGATTCTGGCATCTAATTCGTCTCACGACAAGTATGATTGAGAAATTTCAAGTTGCCAGACTCCAGGATTTTTTGGAGCTTGATTTTATAGATACTGAACAGCATGATTTAGACTTTAAATTTTACGGAAACATGAAACGGGCACCCTTATAATGCACTTATCTATTGCAAAATCTGAGAAGGAGTAAACACAAATAATGGTGCAAACCTATGACATTGAAATAACAAATATGGAGATAGATATCACGTAAATTGAAATTGTTTTTACTTCTAAGACTATGCTCCATTCGTAGCTTCAAATAGGGCTCAAAAATTATTATGCACCTATCAATTATTATGCTCAATTGTCATCAAATAATCTTCCTTTTGCTATAGGTATAGGAATGGAGAATGCAAGCGGGAGATCCGCGAGTGCCATATGAAGTGGGGTTTGATGCTTTAATTGTTATGCTAGTTCAATAGATTTAGATTGGCCCCTTTCTTAGGACATTATACTATACTTTAATTGTAACTGTAAAACTAATGGTTGACTTGAGCTGCAGTTTTTTGCAACTTCATTGTATCGGGCTTATAAACACAAACTGGATAGGGGAAAAATGACTCCCCTACATTGTGATCAAGATAGTAATGCAACTGATAAACACAAACTGGATAAATTTTCAAAGATAATGTTGATAAATATTTCCGTCGAAGTAGATAACAATACCTACAATGATAATACAAATAGAACTCAAAAAATATATGTAAAAAAACCTTTTATCTATGTCATCCACGGTACCAAACATTTCATTTGTGTCATCCACGATACCAAATTTTTCAAACTATCGCAATTAAAGTCCAAATGAATGATTTCTGTTAGTTTGACATTTAGTTAACCAAACAATTGACTTTGACAAGAATTTTGACAAATTTTAAAAGGTTAAATCGATAACTTTATATTTTTCATAATAAAATAACTAAAATCAAATCATTAAAATAAAAAACCAACTTCACCCCACCCCACCCCACCCCACCCCAAATCCATCACTTTTTGGATCTGAAAACTAGTGCAACCACGCCAACAATGACAACAAGCTCCGGCGCTCCGAGCCCAAGAAGTAGTAGGCCATATGGGTTCACATTTTCCATCTCATAAGTAGAATAATATCCTTTACGTGTCGGGCCGGCCTAAACAACCAAAAGAAAAAACTCCCACAATGCCCTACATTGGTGGCGATATCAAAAAGTCTGGAGTACTTGGTAAAATGTTTATTCCTATGGATGGCTCCAGCTCTAGAAAATCTAGTCCCATTAACAATGCTCATTCAAGGACAATGTCTTTTGGTGGTTTTGCATCGCTAATAGGTCAGTTAAATTCAAGCAATCAAATGGGTTAAAAATCCATATTTGGGGTTTGCAGATCAAAAAATAATAATAATAAAGAATTTATTTGTTGGATTTCAAAACGTGTATAGAATGTTGCTTTAATTTTTATGGAGATGTTTTTTTTGTTTCTAATTAATTCTTGTTTTCATCTATCTAATATCTAAACGTTGAAGCAGGCCTTGTACGAGAATTGTTATACTCAAAGGTAATGACTGCAGATGCTCAATTGTTGATGAATTCTCAGCTTAACGGTTTTCCTTTGAGCAACGTAGGGTTGGGGGTGGGGGTGCGTGGGGTGGATGGAGAAGAAGAAGTGGAAATGAGTTTTTAGCACCCGTTTGTTTCTCATTTTTCATCCATAAAAATGAAAAATATGACCGTTATCAAAAATATCAAGCCATCAATTTTGAATTTCTATCTATTGCGTGGAGCTCAATAACGACTATATTTTTCATTCTCATTCTACAATAATGAGAATCAAACGGACCTTTAATTTTGATTATTTGATTTGGGTTATTTTATTATTAAAAAATGTAAATTTGTCATTTTAACCTTTTAAAATTAGTCAAAATTATTGTCAATATCAATTATTTGGTCAACTAACAGTCAAACTAACAAAAACCATCCATTTGGATTTCAAGTACGACATTTTAAAAGTTTGACATCGTGAGTGACACAAATGAAAAGTTTGGACAAAATCTGCTACTCAATAAAAGGTTTGGAATCGCCACTGCAATTATTCCTTAGAAAAATAAACAATAAACAAAATCGAACCAAGATAACTGAAGCAGATAATGATGAAGGAAAAAAGTTAAATCCGTCCCACAACACCCCCCATCACCACCATCACCTTCCCCTGTCCCACCCCATGAAGCATAAAATAGATGAGACGGAGTCGGATTTGACCATAAAATCAACCAAAGCAATGTGTTACATGCCACAATCTTGATTTCTTGCACCGAGATCCACACCCATGTTAACCGAACAACATACTTACTTCCGCTTGCAAGGGATTCTGTCGAAGAAGATGGGAGCCATCATCTTCGAAGTAATAAATAGCAGCTGAAAAGGCTCACTAACGCCTTCAACGATTTTTCTGGTGTAGTTGGAGATGCACCACAGATGATGATGTTCTATTTTTCTAGTGCAGCAAGAGAAGTGGCGAGGAGTTGTCACGATTTTGTGCCAGTGCTCGAGGGTTTGAGGGTTTTTTTTTTTTGGCCCTTTTTTGGTTTTGAATGGTGCGTATTTCTTTTTTTGTTATTCCAAGTCAGCAAGTCAAGTCAACCTTCTTGTTACCCCTTTCTGTTACAATAACGGGATTAAAAAAAATTCCCCATTTTTTGACTCATCATATGTTAATCATTATATAATTTCATTATATATAAGTAGCATTATCCCTCTAAATATGCATAACAAGTTTTTTTTTTTTTCCCTTTTAAATTTTAGTTTTTCAAAGACTATTCATAAAAAAAAAAAAAAAAATCCTTTTTGAGATCTTATGTTTACCTATTTAAAAAGGTTTATGCTACATGTACATAATAATTTATATAATGGTTTACCAACAGATCTGTAAGTGTTATGCCCTAAATCCAATCAACTTTGGACATAAACACTTTGACTATATATATAATCAATACATATGTATGGCAATATCTATTATTTAATTGAATCAATATTTTAATAAATTAAATAATAGAATTCGTAGATTCAAGTCTTGGTGATTTGTTAATCACAAGGAGTTGTGATTGTGAGATACAAATTACATATGACTGAATCTTAAATCGTCTGTGGTCGAAATAATAACGAGATACGGATATTATTATTACGGATAGATTATCGCGTGTGGCATTCTTACTTGTGAAGTAAGTAGCTGATCTCACAAGCTATAGTGTGGTGACACTTGAATGAACACGTGGATGTTTTGTTATAGAACAAAA